TCAGGTAATAGTCCGTGGATATAACACTATATATAAACACTATATTCACTCGTCCAAATGAAACTTGTTGAAACTTTGAATAATTCATCGTTTGTAACCGCAAATTATCATTAATATTATTTTACTATTCATTAGGCTACATTTTATAATAACCTTTTTAAAGTGCAACATAAAAGAGGCTTTTTTTTCTGGTTTGGGTTTGAGAAAAAAAATGACATCTGTCATTTTAAATTTATAAGCAAAATAACAACCGTTGGCTTGTAGCCATTGCGAAGTTAAATCACTTTTTAACCGAACAATTTACCATCCCTGAGAAGAATGTCCCAAGTCAGACTTGCCTGACGTGGGTTTCTTAGCAGTAAACTGACCATTTTCCAGTCCAAGTTGAACGTCCTTCAAGGACAGCGCATCCACACTTTGCTTTGCCATCCTTATTCTGCTCTTTCGCTCATCGACAACCAGTAGTGGACGAAGTACACAAATCAAGTACTTGAGTAAAAGTACAGATACATATAATAAAATATTACTCCAGTAAAAGTACTCCTTTTCCAATTTTACTCGAGTGAAAGTACAAAAGTACAATTTATGCACTTAAGTAAAAAAGTACTGATAGATTTATTTTGCAATTTTATATTGGCGCACATTTTTTATAATTCTACTGCTCAAAATAACTGGGATTTCCCCAAAATAACCACTAAATGGAGTCTAAAAACACCCCTGGCCAAATGCCCCCAGAGGGCATCACTTCCCACTTTGATAATTACTGTAGTTACCATGTTCTGAACATCACATCCTTTATTTTCCCCCAGATGTAATCTATCTAGGTCAGGGATGGGCAACTTTGGTCGTGACGAGGGCCAGCATTTTTTTTTTCTCCTTTATACCAAGGGGCCAGATTACTAATCCACGTCTACACACCTTTTACTCAATTTCCTTTTTATTGAAGGAAATTAAAGTATAACTAATGTAATTTGTTTTTAAAGATTTTAAGTATAACACTTGTGCAGTTATGCTAATTCAGAAGGAAAACTTTGTTGTCAGTGGACAGAAATATTACCCCGACAATCCAATGTAAACATTTCAATTGCATTGTCTGTAAATTTGCAAAAAGCAAATAAACAGCGGCCCTTTTTTTATTAGTAGCCTACAGAACATTCTGCTCGTCAGTGAACAACGGCTCTGTGTAGTTAATGCTGCTCAATGTGAAAGCACGCAGGTGATGGAGATTTACCGCTGATTAAAGAACCGGCTTTACTGATAAGATGCGCGTTAAATATCGCTTGCGATTAATCGTGCAGCCCTAATTCAAAGGGCATTAAAGTGCGCGAGATGTGAATTTATATTTGGGGATGCAACCAAATAAGAGAAAAGACCGAATAAATTGTACCGAACAATGATATGACGCGGTCAAATAGCAACCAGCGCAGAGTGAGAGGCGCGCAGTCTTTATTATGCAGCAGCACACATCAGCAGTGTGGAAGCATTTAAACTGTCAGAGAAAGACGCAAAAATCATTACAAGCACCGACAGCGAGAGACTGTTTAGTACTGCTTTGCATGTCTTCAATGAGAAGAGGAAGGGGTGATTGTTGCTGGTTACTGTATGATGATTGAAATGGCCTTAAACAATTAGTAAATAAACTGCAGAACATTGTTTTCTAATACACGCGCACATTGCATGTATTCTGACAGCGCTGCACAAACTCACAGCAGATCTGCTTGTTAACCAGGGTTCAAAGTCCAAAGCGCGAGGAAAATCTGCGCTGATACAGTTGTCCGTTGCTCAGTCACATTTTTATGAATTTTTACAAGGCATGTGACACTGTGATACGTACGACGTATTCGTAATGAGACTCATTTATAAATCTATTATCAACAAAAATAAGCATTGAGGTCTTCCTACACGTTTCCGCCAAAAAAAAAGTTGAGAAAAAGCAAGAAATCTGATCAACGTTCATAAATGTTAGTATTGTAATTTTACTGTACTGTAAAATAAAAAGACAATAATAATGATAATCATTACAACAGCTCTGTTTTAATACATTTATTATAACATTCACACATAGTGTTCAAATTAGGATCTGTAATATTTTCTAATGTTTTAAAAGAAGTCTCTTCTCAGCAAGGCTGCTTTTAATTGTACAGTAAAAGAAAAAAAAAACATGCCTGATTCAAGATGGCCAAAAATTATTATTTTACATATTAATTTTAAGTTAAATTGTGCTTTGTTGGTATAGTGTCCGCTAGAATGTTAAAAATGTTCAGTGTTAAATATTTTTAAATTGTTGTTTTGTAATTGATTTAAAAAAAAATTTTGAAAAGCAAGACAAAACAGTAAAGCACATTTTGTCTTTTTAATTTATACAATGGTGAAATTTTTTTTGGTCAAAATACATGGGGAAAAAAACTCGAACCGTGTTCATTTTAATTGTACAGTAAAAGAAAAAAAAAACATGCCTGATTCAAGATGGCCAAAAATTATTATTTTACATATTAATTTTAAGTTAAATTGTGCTTTGTTGGTATAGTGTCCGCTAGAATGTTAAAAATGTTCAGTGTTAAATATTTTTAAATTGTTGTTTTGTAATTGATTTTAAAAAAAATTTTGAAAAGCAAGACAAAACAGTAAAGCACATTTTGTCTTTTTAATTTATACAATGGTGAATTTTTTTTTTTTGTCAAAATACATGGGGAAAAAAACTCGAACCGTGTTCGGTATTCGGCCTTCAACCCAGTGTTTAATTTTGTTCGGCTTTGGCCAAGAATTTGAATGGAATTGAATTGAATTAAATTAAAGTTGAATAAACTTCAACTTTACTGTTCAATGCACTGATGTCAGACTAATTTTGGATAATAAAGTTTATTATTAAATTGTTAAATGCCCTGCCTCCATTACATATCTCTGTCACGTCATTATAAGTGTCTGATCACCACATTTGAGTGATCATTGTAAAAAAATGTGTGCGTGTTTATTTATTTATTTACCAGTAAAATGTTTGGACACACAAATGGGAAAGTGTCCAAACTTTTGACTGGTATCGTTCTATAATATACACAAAGAATATCGGCCGATATATCGATACCGGCCTTTTTTACTCCCTAGTATCGGTTTCGGCCCCAAAAAAACCATATTGGTCGGGCTCTAGTTAGGTGTAAGGGATGGGTCAACAGTGTAATTATAATTTAATTACATATGTAATTACATGCAGGTATTTTATAGATATAAGTACAATGTAAAAACATGTATTAACACCAATTACACTGTACCAAATGATTAATTTAAATTGACTGGGTATCGTCTATTAATATACACAAAAATATCGGCCGATATATCGATACCGGACTTTTTTTACTCCCTAGTATTGGTTTCGGCCCCAAAAAAACCATATTGGTCGGGCTCTAGTTAGGTGTAAGGGATGGGTCAACAGTGTAATTATAATTTAATTACATATGTAATTACATGCAGGTATTTTATAGATATAAGTACAATGTAAAAACATGTATTAACACCAATTACACTGTACCAAATGATTAATTTAAATGTAAGTACATGGTAGTTAATGCCACTTAATATAAAGTGGGACCCAAAGATTTTATCCATTGTAACTCTTATATGCACACTGACCATTCAGTGCAAGTGTTCAACATCTGTTCATTACATTTGTTTCCTACAGAGAGAATCTCTCCAAGGACCTTTACCTGATGTCTCAGATGGACAGTGATCAGTTTGTCCCTATTTGGACTATTGCAAGCATGGAGGGGGTCAAACTGCTGACTACTGATATGGACCTGATACTTGAGGTGCTACGAGGTAAAACAAACACAACCTGACCAGTTTCAATGTTTGTTCATGCCTTGCAATGCTTTAATTCCTTGTTTTCTGTCCTCCTTAGCTTCTCCCATGGTGCAGGTGGATGAGAAAGGTGAGAAGGTACGGCCAAACCACAAGCGATGCATCATCATCCTCAGAGAGGTTCCTGAGACCACGCCTGTAGAGGTGAGACCACACTTAATGGTCATCTCTTGTGGCTGTAAATGGTAGAGCTTGGTTATCATTACTGTGGTCACTTCGATGATGATCAGTATTGCACTTGGAAGGATCCAGAACCTTTGCTGCTGTTGAGAATTCATTGCCACCCCCCCCCCCTCTCACTCACTCATTCAATCTCTCAGTACAGTGGATTTTGCCCTAATGACTGTGAGATTATGAGATCTGAGGGATATCTGGCATCTTGTTCGTCAGTAGTTTTTACTTATTCTTTTGATTTGCTGGCTGATGCTTTTGTCTCTCTGTCAGGAGGTGGAGGCCCTGTTTAAAAGTGAAAAGTGTCCACAGGTTATCAGTGTGGAGTTTGCGCACAATAACAACTGGTACATCACATTCCAGTCTGACACAGATGCTCAGCAGGTATTATTGACAAACACACACAAAAGGCCTTTCTCATGGAATAGATGTCTTCATAAATAATTGGTAAAAATCATGGGAGGATGGTGTGCCACCATATTGTTTTTTTTGGACTTGTTTTAGTTTAGATCATATGATGCAAGTTAAAATTGCCTGAATTTATTTCCTGTTATATGGCTTATGACTTTCTAATCTGTATTATGTGTAACTTTGTTTGCCATTATAGTTATTTATTAAATATGGTCATATGGAAATTTAAAAAGCAGTAGTTAAAGACTTTCCCTTTGGTTTATATTAATTGCTCCATTTGAAAAAGGCAGCATTTTTGCTTTTCTATGTTGGTTTATTAAATGCAAAAGTTTTTTTCTGGATTGATTTAATGTCACATTGTTTTACAGGCCTACAGATACTTGCGTGAGGAAGTCAAAACCTTTCAGGGCAAACCAATTATGGTGAGTGTTCATTGTGCTGCCATCTCTCCTGTTAGGTCAGCTGTAATTTAAGCACCCTGAATGTGTGCATTCCTGGCCGCCACTTCAAATACAGCATGTGTCACCTTGACCACCCCGAATGCTGTCATGATTAACAGGATTCTCTGAACTACTCAACTTTGACCCTTTGTTCTTTCAACCAATCAGTGATCAGTTATCCCATTAATATGTAACCAATAGGAAAGACCCCACAGACAGTGTATAGGATTATGTAATCCACAAACCAGGCCGATTTTGCGCTGTTCAAAGTCTCTTGCTTTAACTTGTACAACAAAATGCACTTTATCTTGTGCAACCCACATCTATAAATAGTCAAACTAAAGGCATCTGTATGAGTAATGCATGAGATGCGTTTGTGCCACATGAAGGGAATCTTCTCTCAAGCGCCCTGCTGAGACACTGGTAGACGTTTATAACCGTAATTGCTGGATTGGGGAGGTGCATGTACTGTTTTATTTGTTTAGACAAATGTGAATACTGACTTATCATTTGTGGTCTCCCTTCAGTTTCACAACCGAGTGTAACCCATAATCAATGATCTTTTAGATGTTCTGGTTTTAATACAGGTGTCTCTTTGTATGTTTGTGTCGGCAGGCTCGAATCAAGGCCATAAACACGTTCTTTGCTAAGAACGGTTATGGGGCCGTTGACTCTGGGGTTTACGCCACTCCATCACAGTACTCCTCTCCAGTTTACCTGCAGCAGGTGTACCAGCCTCCACAGCAGTACCCTCTCTATAGCCTCCTGCCACAGACATGGACCCCCTCACCGACCCCTTACTTTGAAACGCCACTGGTGAGAACTTAATCTTGAAATATGTTGAAGTGTGTTAAAAATGAATCCAAGGATTCAAGTGAATCCCCCATATAATAAAATTAACACTACAACCTGTTCTAATGTGCTGATTTGGTGCTCAAGAAACATTTCTTATCACAGTTAAAATGGTGCTACATAAAATTGAGCATGTATAATGGTTTTCTCTGAATTATTAGAAACAGTATTTACTTGAAATACACATTTTTGTAACAATGTAAGAGTCTTTACTGTCACTTCATGAATTTAACACTTCCTTGCTAAAAGGTACTTTATATATATATATAAGGATTTTAAAAACACAAATGTAGCAGTTTATGAAAGATGTATATGAAACTTCCAAATTTTTTGACCCAGTGATGATAAACTTAAGCGCATAGAGGGAAGCAGGGAGTGATCAGAAGATTTTGGGAGTTCTTTTCCTCTTTTTCTGCTACTTTTATCTCGCTTTTCTTCTTTCGCTGTCTCTCCCTCCTTTAAGTCTCTGTCACTCCTGACCCAGTGAGCGTTAAGATTATGAGATCTGAGGGTCACTTTACTGTTTTCTATGGCTGAGCATTGTAGCAGTTTATTTACAGTCTTTTTAGAGTCACTTTGAAAGTGACTCATCAAATAAGCTATCTTCTATGTTAGCCTTTTATTTTGTTATCTTTGTATTGCAGTCATGAAAGCTGATGGAGTCACAGTGGGTCTCCTAGTTTGTAATCAGGGTTGTGATTGCAGGCCGAGCTGCAGGGGACTTGCTGCAGTGAAGTCAGGGCAGTTGAATAATTTTCGAATGGTTACCATGCCAACAGTTATTTGGTTCATTTAGCATATCACAATGTAAAGAGGTGCTTTGGCCATGGTTCACAAAAATGTGAATTCAGTTTGTAGTTTGAGGATGTGTGGGTTAAAGGCACTTATATGTAAGATTTTTTTGTTAAAATATCCAATAACCACTAGAATGGTGTTATATATATTTTGACTTGTGTACTTACATTATCCCAAATGTTTCGAAGAATGTTTAAATCCAGAGAAATAAGCAATTTGAACTAGGACCGTGTCCATAGTGTCATTGTGTCGCCTGCCAATGATGTCATAAGCCCTCGATTTCCCCTCGGTTTTGTTTTGTAGAAAACATGGAAACACCAAAGATGCTTTAATATGTTATGCGTTTTATTAGACTGGTGACGACCGCACCGAGTAGCAGCATAACAGAACTTTCAAATGTATGCAGTATGATAAACCGGCGCTGCTTTTTTCCCCCCACATACGCACGACCGGAAGGAGCGGAAGCGGTCATATACATTGTGGCTTTAATCTCAGCTGTTGATTCATCTTGCAGGCTCCATTTCCCAACAGCACATTTGTTAATGGCTTTGGCACAGCAGGAAACTACAAAACTGGCTCCTCTCCAATCAGCCTTACGCGCAACTACCCCCGCAACCGGTAAGATCCTGAAACCTACATTTTGTTTTAAGAATCTCTTTCTTAGTCTGTTCCTTTCCTTCTCTGCCAAAAACGTAATAGGTTGTTTCTTCAACCATGGGAACTTTATATCCCATGGGCTGGTATTTCAAATATGTTTGCAAGGTTTGGTTTTATATCGAATTCATTTGGCAGACACTTTTGTCCAAAGCGGCTTACATTTTAAGCTATACATTGCTAAAAATGAGTCCAACTCATGACCTTAGCATTGCTTAGTTCCCTGTTCTACCACTTGAGATGACATAAACATAGACAATAAACAATTCTGGTAATTGTGCAAATTTATAATACTTAAGCAAATTACAATTGTACCTCAATTATTGTGCATCCTTTCCAATTGAATTTGCTGTACGTTTTGTCCAAGTGTGAAATTTGTTGAGGTTTACCTACATTGATTTCCTCTCATGTACAGAAAGTTAGGCAGAGCTCTGTTTGACGCACTGGAGTCATAATGACTTTGTTCCTTTACTTTCTAGACTTCCACTTTATTCCAGAAAGAATGTAATCAATTCCTTCAGGTAGATATGCTCTGCTTTTACTGGAGCATTTCTTCATTTTAAATGATCATCTTTTGCATGGTCATGTACCATGCAAACTGCTTTAAAAGATTAGAATGCCAGAACTGCACTGGGGTGATTAAAATGTTTGGGCTTATGTTAGACTAACGTTATAGCTAAGGGATGGGCTGTATCACATTGCTTCAAAAACCAGAACGTTTAGTGTTATTCAACTATGAGCAAGCACTCCATAGTTATTGACCATCATGACTCAGCTGAAAGCTGCATGATGCCTTTCACAGTGAATGAATGTCAGTGCAGTGTCATCAGATCTGTCATGTGACCCTGTCCTTGCATGTATCATCTGTTGCTCTGTGTATGAGAGTTTCCTGATGGTGTCTTGGGAAGTACATGCATTATTAAAAACAATCTACATAGGGGTTTGTCTTGATATGAGATCTACAGGATAAGTTAGCCAGTGGCGCGTTTAATGACAAACGAGACATAATTTTGGCTGCAAGGAAACAAGCACAGTATTTTACACCAAGGAAGATTATGGGCAGTTGTAACAAGTACTGATCATATTTGTCATGTTAGAATAATCTTTCACTTTAGAATCAAGAACAGTCTTTTAGGTCAGTTTTTTTTTTTTTTTTTTTACTTTTTATTTGTTATTTTACCTTCTAAAGACGTTATTATATTTTCTCTACTTTATTGTGGGCTTTTTAAAAAAACTTAAGCACAATTTAAAAGAAACATTATGCAAGTTTGGAATTAGGGGCTTACACAGGCAGAATTCTATTTGCTTGTTGGTTCATCTGTTGGTTTAGTTTATATTGGTTGTTTTTCTGTGCTGCTAAATGGGAGAACATCTGCAAAATAAATGAAAATGGTGTTACTCTTCAGGAACTTCTCAAGCAAACAGGCTTTTTTTTCTTGTCACTACATATGTATATCACCTCCATTTGTGATGCTTGTTAAGCACAGCCAAAGAGACCACCCTTAAAGCCCAGCTGGACAAACTATATGTTCCACAGTTGTTTACTCAGCTTTGCTTTGGTTTTGGAGCCTCGGTTATTGTTGCATGCAGTCACCTGATTTTTGTGTTCTGTGCAGAAATCATGTAAAGCCACAGCCTCATGCTGATGTGTGTCAGCTGACAGAGACTTCGTCTGGTACCGATAGTCCCCAGCCTCCATGCACTCCTACTTCAGACACCACTGCCTCCGCCCTCACTCCGCTCTCTGAACCGCCAGCTTCCCCCAGAGAGAACCACCACTCAGACCTCGGCAACAGCAGCCGGGCCAGGTCCGTTTTTTACGTTTGTATGTGTATATATATATTTTTTTTAAGTGAATTGAACTAAGCAGCAGATTTGGTTGTTTTGACCCAGTGATGATCAACTAAGCGCATAGAGGGAAGCAGGGAGTGATAGGAAGACTTTAAGAGTTATTTTTCTTCTCTCTGATCAGTTCTCCTTCCTCTTCTTTTGCTCTCTCTCTCGCTCTCTCTCTCTCCCTCCCCTTAAAGTCTCCGTCACTCTTGTCCCAGTGAGCGGTAAGATTATGAGATCTGAGGGTCATCTGTTGAGTGTGTTCACTGAACGGTGACGGGGTTGCTGATAGGATTGTATTTAACGACTTGTGATGTGTCTAGGAGAGGAAGCTATCGTGGCATGAGGAGGAGAAGAGAAGATGAGAGAACGGTATGTCCTAAATGTTTATTACATGGCTCTCTGAAGTACTTCATTTTTATTGCCCATTCTTGCTCAATTATTTGTGCTTCTCATTTCATTTGCGTTTCATTTTTCACAGAGGCCGAATCCTGAATCAGAAGTGAAAGCTCCACCCCCTAAGTTTGACCTCGCAACCACTAACTTCCCGCCATTACCAGGAGGTGCCCCGAGTCGTCTGCCAGGTGTAACCGTGCAAACTGAGTCGGTGTTGGAAAATCGCATGGCAGATGTAGTTAAGGGCATCAGCAGGGACAAGGTAGTAAGAACTACTTCCTGTAACCATGTATTCTCGTTTACATTTGTTCTGCTTGTACACCGAGAATCTCAGATATCACTCAAGTAAAGTTACTATTTTTCTGTGTTTGTTTAGCCGGAAACAAGTAAGCAAGATGTCAGTCAAGATCCTGGAACTTGTCCAGTGGAAGCTCAATCGACTGGACCCTCTACTCCAGCGCCAAAGCTTCCTGCCACAAAACAGGACACACCTACCACTAGGTACACACATACATGTACAGTAGGATCTTCTATTTTGAAGAATTTAACAATGTGGTAAAGAATCACATTTTCATTGAATAATACTTTTACTAATACTATTATTTATCTAAGTTTAAATTAGTGAATTGTGAATTTTAATATAATAAAATATAATTAGTTGTAGTACCTATTTATTGGTTATTAATGTTGTAAATATTCAAAAAATTTACAGTTTTTGCTATACATATCAAAACAATTTGATTCAAATTTATGCACTTAAAAATATATAATTGAAACGTTGTACAAATAGAAGCAGGTTGATTCAAATCACATTTCTCTCTACAGTACGTCAAATCAAGTGAAGAGACCTGAGAAAGAGGTCCAGGTCTCCGACACACCTCCAGACCATGCGTCGGTGACTACAAAGCACGTCCAGCCCATTTCTGCCCCCAAAACTTCACGCAGCCAATCAAGCACTTCAAACACTGCATCTACACCACCTGTCCTAACAAGCACAACTGTCCAGGTAAATGCATTCATGTGCTAAATTATATATATCTTCCTGTTGCTCGTTCACATCTGAAGGTCGGAATGATGTCTGTTAACTTAAAGGTTTTTTTTAATCCCCTCAGGAGCCTCGGAAGCTGAGCTATGCGGAGGTGTGTCAGAGGCCACCCAAAGACCCTCCCCCTGCACCGGCTGCCCCACCTAGCCCCAGCCCCACCCCTTCTCCCACCACAAACCAACCACTACGTGAACTTCGCGTCAACAAAGCGGAAGGCCCAGCCTCATCCCGCTGCAGTCCTGGCGAGAAACTGGAGAAAGGAAACGAGAGTCGGACTTCCAGAGAGCAGACTGGCTACCAACGTGGTAACGGCCCCAGAGGGTCAAGTTTTAAGCTCGGAGAGCAACAGAGATGGCCTCTACAGGGTCGGCGCTCCTCTCCACAGACGGGGTACTACAGACGCAGTGGAAAAGAACAAAACATCCCACCCAGATCGCCAAAGTAATGCCTCGTATGCCCACAACACACGTGCACACTTGTGTGTATGCTTGGATACACAACTTATATATATGAAAGTAAGAGTATATAAATCTATATATATAAATATCTAAATATAAATCTACATATGAAAACTGGACTGTCGCACTGTGGTGTCGAAGAACCCTCTGCTTCCCAAATGACTGCGATATTTGGGAAGTTCCTTAAAAATACAGAAGAAATCTAGGAATTTAAAGATGGAAAAACCTCTTACACTTGAAAGGAGAAATTGTCTGTTGACTGAGAAAAACCTGTGTTGTCTGTGATTTACAGCAATTAATTGGCTTGTGAATGAGTTTTGATTTTATTTGGAGTGTTGCACTAGTGAACAACGCTGTACATTTTTTTTTTATATATATATCTCCCCCTCCCTCTCTCTCTCTCTCTCTCTCTCTCTCTCTCTCTCTCTCTAAATGGTAGTAGTACTGTTGGTGAGAAATCAAGCCAGCACATGTTCTCCATATACAACAGATCACACAAAGACAGCATGGCAACACCCCACCTGTTCCCCCCCCCCTCAGATATGACGCTTTTAAAAATGAAAGATGCACGGTGATTCATAACTGTTTTTTCTTTAATTTATTCAAACTGTGCACAAGATGAAACATAATATTGATACAAGGTTCCCACAGTCCTGGAAGACCAGGGAATTTTTAAAGTGAGATTTGGACACTAGGAAAAGTGAGTCATATCACTATTATAATTAATTCTTCAGCTATAAATTTAATATGAGTCTGATTTTTTAAAAATTATTTATAAAAATGTATTGACCTGAACATGGTGGAAACTTGTTGGTATTTGCCTTTAATTTAAATGGCTCTCAAGCAGGTATTAAGGGTTTCACATGATTTGTAAAGCGAATCAGTTGTGCACATATGCCGTTGTATTGTAATTGCTTCGTGACTGAATCAAAATTAAATTGAGGTGCCTATGGATTCCCACCCTAGTCTAAAACTGGAAGACAAGTGTGTGTACATTGTTCAGACAAAGGAAGAGGGAAATGTGTAGGTTTGAAGGACGGTGAGAATGAACAAGAAGTTTGTCATGAAGAATGGATGAAATGGTACTAGACATCCATTGAAAAAAGATTTGGAAATTGCGGTGTATATTCAAGGTGATTTTTGAGTTGGTGTGTCGTTTTGTATCATGTCGTATGGTGTCATCTGTGATGTCCAGTGTTTCTGAAGGCTGGGTCTGTCAGTAACTGAAAGATCAAGCTGCTTTATTGAAAGAATGAATAGAAATCATTTGTGTAGATGAGCAAAACCACAGTTTGTCTTCCTTTCCCTTGGGAGTGCAAGTCTTGTTAGTGTTTTCTAGTGATCAGGTTTTGTAGTGTCTACTTTTGACAATATCTGTTTTATTTTATTTTTTTATTAAGTTTTTCTCCCTCTGCTGTAGATGCTGGTGATGATAATCAGATTGGATTTTATGCTCTCAGAGTTAGTGTGCTGCTTCAGAATCGCCGTTCATGTCCAGTCTGTGATATTGAGTCGGTCTGTGTTTTTCTTTGTATGTTTGTTTAATGATAATATGTATGTGACGCTTGCGTTTATGCCTGTACATTTCAGGTATGATTACATGTAATATACCTGCTACAGCACTCATAATGTACCCGTCATCCAATCTCATGTCGACTTTGGTAAAAGAGAGGGAACTCAGGACCTCAGAGGAAATCGGTGATGTCTATGACTGCTAACTTTGTCCAATGCTTACTGCAGGATTTTTTTATTTTTATTTGTAGCCTTTTGAATTCAGTAACCACGTTAAACTGTTTAGGGGTCTTAAGTTTCAGTTAATGTATATTTGAATGTTTTAAAAAACGTTTAATCCGTGACACTGTAATGCATGATCTCTCCTCAATTTGTTTTCCCTCCCCTCCTTATCGTCTCATTCACATGCATGAATGGGCTGTGCACAGATCCAGACCAAAGTCAAATCAGCAGAGACAATCTCAGGAAGTGCTGTTAAATGCAGTAGCTCCTCCCTCACTCCTCTCATTCTGCCATGGGCAGGGCCACCGTTGAATGAGTGAGTGGTTAAAATCATGATTGTTGATTAGTGAGTTGAACAATGTGTTTTAGTTTTATGAAACTTTGTGTGTAGAACCTTATAAAGGTGTCCTATGAAAAAATTCTCAAAATCCCCTACTTTCTATTTGACCGTTTCAGACGAAAGGATGGAGGGAAAGTTCATGCATCAGTTTTATTTTGTTTTAAATTGTCTGTTTCTTTAACTTTCTTCAGTGTGGCTTTCTTGCCCTAACGTGTGTTATTAGTTTGAGATGTTTTCAAATTTTTGTTTTCTATATTTGGCAATATTATCCTTGGGCACAAATTATTTCAAACTGTGCCACTAAAATTAAAAAAAAAAAAAAATCAGTGGACCTGGTTTTCTTTTTTTATTCTTTTATCTGAATTAATGGATTTGATTCATAACTGGTTGGTGAAATGAAATGTATTATGTTTTGTTGCTAATCTCATAACCTGTGTAGGCTGTAAGCTTTTTAGACATGAAATGGTGCAGTTACGAGTAGCAAGTCTTTAGCCAAAAAAAGAAAAAGTATTGTCCTTTTTTCTTTTTAATTATATAGGGGGGTAGACATAGCAACTGCTGAGTGAAGTGTTTTGGATGATATTGTAGAGGTTCAATGAAGAAAAAAAAATGCTAAAGGAAACGAAAGAAAAAAAATAAATGATAAAATGATTTTAATCAGTGTTTGATTTTTATTCTTGAACAACCTATAGAAAATGCTTTAAAAAAAATTGTTTAATAGCAATTTCTTTTAATTAACCAAATATTAAATGGTCCTAAGTGTTTCAACACACTTAAACAAAAGTAATACATTCTTTGTATTATAAAACCCTTGTGACTTTCTTTGCCTGTCAAGTTGCAAGTATGCTACCACGTAATTGCGTCATCTTGTGGTCACTGATTTGTCAACTTTTTGATAATAATAATATCAGTGTGTGTTGTTTTACTTGTTATAAAACAGCCTTATAGAACCTTAAATATTTCTACAACATTTTACTTTACATATTTTACTAACGTTTTTGCATGTGTTGGTAAAGCTGCCATGCCATCACGTCGTAAATATAGCTACAATATATTTTAATTGTAACATTAAAATAATTTTACGTTTTGGTTCACTTCAAATGCTTCGACTGTCAGTTCATTGATTCAGTCAGATTCGTGGACGAAACATTCGGACTGGTTTTGTGAACCAGTTCAACCAAAAGATCCGACTCAAAAGAACGATTCTTTCACGAATCGGACATCGCTAAGTAAGAACCTTTTAAACGAAACACAGCGCGCCAGGAGTTACGACGAATCTTCAGACACGTTATCGTTTCGTTATAACGGTTGTTACGACTTTATTGCATACTAGTGTGGAGTAATTTTATTGTATAGATAATTCTGGAATGGCTGACAGAAGAAACGCATGCTAGCTAGCGGTATGTGTTGGTGTGATAAAGCTATTGGGTTGAAGCGGGTTTAATTTAGCGGAAATGTTCTTTAAACAGGGATGATCTCAGACAATAGTCAAATGAAAGCGTCTTATCATGTAATCATCATGCACATTATACAGTCAGTTGAACCCAGCAGGCCTCTCGGCTGCAATGAAGTCTGGATACCTGTCATCTGTCAAGAGACTGTACAACATTTCAAATGCAAAGTTTGGCAGGAATTATTTTAAATGGGGGGTTTATGGTCAGATGACTGTTTAAACAATTGAGATGATACGAACAGAATTGAGGTTTTTAAAAAGTCTGGGGTCTCATAAGATAAATCATAACTATTCTTTCTGGATGGTGTTTAGAAGTGACACAGGAAGTAGTTGATCTAAAATGGGAGACGATCGACCTTTTGTCTGCACTGCCCTGGGCTGTGGACAGGTAAGAGCTATTTTCTTGCATTATTACTCTTAAATTCTCCTTTTTATTCCGGTCATGTCCTTCTGCATAAGGTGTATAATAAAGTATAAGGATCCTTTATGGCCCTTAATCTTGGGGCCAGAAACAGATCGTTGCCCCAAACTTTTATTCTAAAATCACACCAGCTGTTTTAATCCCTGCTTCCACTGAGCAACTGTAAGAGGCTACCATAGCACTGCATAACTGGATAACAAGCCATCATCAAAACAACAGATGGCCTGATATCATCCACTACTTCTCTGTTTCTAGCTTCCATCTGATTTGAATTAGGATGAGACGCAAATTGACTGAAAACTTTGCAGCGGGTTAATGCATGTGTCTCTGTTTCTCTCATATCAGAGGTTCACCAATGAGGACCATTTGGCAGTGCACAAACATAAGCATGAGATGACGCTGAAGTTCGGACAAGCTAGAACAGACACAGTTATCATAGCAGGTTTGTGTCCCCACATAGATGAATTTGTCATTGAGTGCTTATGTTAAGGCCTGTTTACACCAAGAACGATAATAATGGGTGTATTATAAGCACACACTAAAATTTTAAATGTTTGAGATCTTTAAAGTCAGGTAGATTCTGATTGGCTTTCAGTTTTGTATCAAAAAATCATTCTGGAAGTGATTCCAACAATATAGTCCCTTTGTGTCATAACAGATAAGGCAGAATCACCTTTCCTAATAATGCGCTAATTAGCAAGTTTCACGATGAATAAAGTAAATAAAGTAAATAGTAAAGTAAAGTCTCTCTGAGAGCAGCTCGGAAGAGAGGGGCGGGGCCAGCAGAGCTCATTAACATTTAAAGCAACATGGACTATAATGGCTTGATAAAAACAGAGCTGATTTTGACAGGTTTAAAAAGGTGTTTTTTACACTAACATTGAGAAATTTTAACAAGTGTTATAGACTTTTCATTAAGACCCTAAAGAATCATATCAACTTGTGCAAAATGAGCATCCGATGACCCCTTTAACTATACTTGTGAGGGCCAAATGTCCTCACTTATACAGTATAGTGAAATAATATGACAACCCACTAGTGAAGACATTGTACTGGACCTCATTAGTTAAAAAGGTTTATGAGTTGACCAGAGCATGTTTTGATGTAAATCTAGTGTTTT